GTTAAAATCAATTGAGAGGCCAGGCTATATATATTCTAAAATATTGCTGTGTATTTGACTTCTGTTTGTTGGTTTTGTTGTGGGTTTTTTTTAAGTTGATGCTTATTCTCTTGAATTATTTGAAAAAATATTTAAAGTTGCTGTTTAAGGAAATACAGGTAAATGATTTTTTTGCAGAAAACAGGAAAAACAAAACCACAAAAAGGTGCTTTTTTCGTTGTTTAGGTGAATTGGATTTTTCTCTCATTTTTTCATGGCAAGTGCCTTTTGACTTCAGAATTTATTTCATAGTCTGCAAAATATATTTATGTAGAATTGGTTATAGGCACCAGCTCTATTGGTCTAAAAGCTCATTCAGAACAATCCTGAATGAATCTTCAGTTTGTATAAAACTGGTATTTGCAATTTTCATTAAACCTCAGAGTTTAAAAAGAATAGTAGGAAAATATAAGCTGGCTTTGGTTCAGAAACTAGCTCTGATAGTTTAAAACCACAAACAAATCTGGTCTGAAACTCAGAATATTACAATGGATAGTAAAGGATGTATCCGTTGTCTTCGTCCTATGCCTTCAGTAGTCGGGGATGTGTGATACAGGTGGTGCCGTGTGACATGGACGGGTGTTTCTCTGGAAGAACCGGGGTTTAGTGGAAATGGTGACTGCCTGGAGTCATGGGGTGTATTTCGCCTGTGTCTGTGGAGCCGTCATTTCTCTGCTGTGCTTGCCAACAGGGTGTGTGTTCTTGTGGAGTGATGTGTAATCCTCTCCACCAGAACATGGAAGCATGACTTCAAGAAGTTTTTAGCCTTTAGAAAAAAGAAGCGTGTTGCCTATCCAAAGTTAAATGGTTGCATGTGGGAGAAAAATGCTCAAATGTTTTCTTGAAAGTCTGAAGCTAAAATGGGGAATACAGCGTAACTGGGGAGAAGTCAAGCTGCTGATGATCTATTCCCTTTCCTCTTGCAGCTGGGAAGGTTGAGAATGAGCACGTTGATTTAAAAGCAGTTTGTGGATATGGCTTGTTGTTTTTTCTATTATTTATTTGAAAGTTAAATACTGCTGGAGAGTACAGTATGAGCACATGGGGGAGGGGACTGTTTCTGTAAAAGTTCTTCAGTGTTATAATCCTAGTTTCTGTTTCAGTGGGAATGACTGGGAACTCTGAGGATGAAACTTAGTCCTAGAGGAAATAAATTTCTCTTAATTTATTGGATCTTAATTAAGATCCATTAAATGGATCTAAAGGGCAGGGGATATCTCTTGTGTCTCTACAACCCCTGGCATGTGGGTGGGCTGTTCCCCATGTGAACATTTAGGTTCAGTTTACTGGAATTATTAATAATAGTAAGCTCATATGCCTTCTTCTAATGCTGAAAGGCAGTTGTGAAGATCTCTGAGAAAACTCTGTGCCATACTGTCTCAGAGTATGGACAGGTCTTGGAAGTGTTACAAGCAGAGGGAGGGCTCAGGGAGGGCTCTGTCCGTGTCGTGACTCCTGTCATCTCCTCTGAGTTGGTGTGCTGGGAGGTCCCAGCACATAGTAGCAATTAATCTTAAGCATTGGCTTAAGAGCTGGAGGAGAATGAAAAGGGGATGTTCTTCATGGATCCCTGGTGGGGAGAGCATGTAGAACTCCTTAAAAGTAGAGCTGGAAGCAGCCTAACCAAATAGCAATTCAACTACGAAGTGGAGGTCTCAGTTTCGGCCAATGTTGCTGAATTTGTCCTGTTTCTGTAAGGGCCCAAGGCTGATTCTGCAAGGAGCTTATTAATATCCTACCCAGAGCCATTCGGAATCAGGTTTAGAGCTCAACACAGCAGGGCCATTTTGGGAGTTCTGAAGACCGTCTGCATCACACATGCAACGAGCCTAGTCTTGATGCGCCGGTGATGTAGAGTCATTCTGCATGTCATGATGCATACGACTAGATCAGATAGGCTTAGTGTCAGATCTATTGTGCATTACTTTCCTGCCGTCTTTCAAAGCATAGGCATTGTCATTTAAGTATGAACTTGCTTGAACTTCTCTGTAAATTATTCTGATGTTGCCAAATCCTTTTCTTATGAATGTGAGAGTTATGCTGAGTTTGACATTTTGTTGAGAAATCTTAGGCTTTCTCTTGGCAGCGTAGTATAAAGGTATAGTTCCTGCCCAACAACAGTGCTTGCGTTGCTGAGGAGAATGGACATCTGGATGCATTGACAGGTTTTTATTCTGGTTTTGCTTTCCATACATCACACATTCAGCCTGCTTTCTGAAGAGATACAGTTGATTGGAAACGGTTACAATTTTGAAACAGCATTACAAGTTTATGCATGTAAGCTAGCAATTACAGTGTCATATGTGCAAACAAAATTTTTCATACCCGTCATAACTCATACCATTTGTACCTTAGAGAGAAAAGGTATAGGAGAAAAAAGGAAAGAGAAGGAGAAGAAAATGGTAATACTGGATCTAGGAGCACAGGAATCTGATATTAAATCTTTAAGTTCTGCCCTGCCATGTTACAGTAAAATCTGGTTAAAATTTGGGAAGTGCTGGGGCGCCACTTGTCTAAAGCTCATGGCGGGTTTACATCCTGTTCCTTCCCAGGCCTCATGGACTCATGGCATCACCCTTGTTTCCTTGAAAGATCCTCCCATGTAGCAGATCAGTGTTCTGTAGCTCTTGGAAATCTATGGTCTGGAGCCTGTAACCTAGAGAAAGGCTTTCTGAGTCCTGGACAGCTTTGTGCCAATGCTCTGGCTTCGTGCAGACAGCCCTCTTTGGAAGCAAGGCACGCGTGTGCGGGCAGATCTGTGCTGGCAATGCCAGGGGAGCAGTTGTGCAGCACTGCAGGGTAAAGCTCATTAGTGGGTGACCGATGCTTTTCTTCTTTGTTGCTCTGCTATGGACCCAGAGGTACAAGTACCGTACACCTCTCTTGCAGTTTAATATTTGCTCTGATAAACATACTACTGAAAGCACACAGGAAAAACAAATATTTGGAAGGATTCAGGAATGGCGGAGGCAGCGTAAAGGAGAAATTAAATGAGGGTGAACTTTGAAACAAGTCAATATCACTTACTGATAGGTTTTAATTGAAACACATGCATTTAATATAAAGGAAAAGCTTTAGGAAGTGATAGTGCTAAAAGATGAACTTGCAGATGGCTAGATCATTAGACCTGGTTTTGCAAAATCTTGGAATGATCAAAAAAGTCAGTGTGGTTTTGAATACTGAACTAGATTTGGCTATATATATATAATAATTTTTTTTTAACAGAACAGTTTTTCATCAGAAAACATTAATCCATTGAAGAAGTGACATTTTTATAGGAATGTGGTAGGTGAGGGAGAACTTCTTTTGGAAAAGCTTCCATATATTTAAAGTTATTCTCTCTTTTTGCCTGTCATGACATACTTTCTGTCATGACATACTACTGAGCTATGAAAAATTATGAAAGTGCTTGGTCTGCCTTCCTCTTGCAATCCATGCTCCTAAGTGAATACTGTCTGTTCTGCTGCTGGACCTTGTTCATACTCCATAAATTATTTACTGGAATAGGAACTCAGAGCTGGGTCTTCTTCATACTGGGTGAGTGGCCTAACTGTGTGTCTGTAGGCAGCACCTCTGCCTCTATATGTTTATGAAGACTGGATGACAACAGTAAAAGAAACAGAGATTCCTATGTCCACAGCAGCCTAGGAAATCACCTGAAATATGTAAGAAATGGGAGATAGGGGAATGATTGCTAAGGCCTTTAGTGTGGGTCCTCTAATTATTGGCTCCTTTTCCATGAGGAATATAATCTAAAATTCTTGGTTTGGTTCAGAATGCAATCCTTCTTTTAGGTCTGGGATTCAATATGTTGTCTGCTTTTTCTGTCCTCCACATTGGAGCAGGGCTCTTGAGTTTCCTTTCTCACCAGCTTTATGTATCATTATCTTGTGGTTTTTATGTGTTTCCTGGACGAGTTGGCTCATAAATTGGAATTCTGAATGAAATTTAACTTGTTTTCAGTCTCGAGTATTGCAGTGGTCAGGAAGATGTTTGCGTTTGTCTTTTTTTTTTGTTCCCCCCCCCGCCATTTCCTCAGCCTTGCATGAGGTGACAATGGAAAGTTTCTTTTCCTCTTACTGCTCACAATCCACACGTTGATGCCTGACAGGAAAAATAATACTGTCAAGGTTACCGTATTTTTCATATATATACACTGTGGGTTATCTCTGGCTTGAGAGTTTTGTTTGTTTTTAAACACGTGCCAAGTCAAACCCTGCGGTTTAGCAGCAGTATGTATTGTGTGTATAGGGATAGCAGGAGAGAAGTTTTATTCCAGGGTTCCTTCCTCAGTAGTATCCCAGTCTCTCGTGGCTTGTTTGCTCTGTGGGTATGAGTTATCTGTGAACTTTTTTTTTTTTGAGAACCTTTTAAGGGCTCCAACTTACCTGAAGCAGAGGTTATATATGTGCAAATACAGTGCTATTATTCTAGGCCTCTGGGATATTATTGCTCTACGAAATATATGGAGGCTAATAGAAATGGCTGTTTCGTGACGTACCATGTACAGTTTGTTACTTTGGGACTATAAAACTTGATTTGCTTGTCAGTCTAAGCAGACCTAGTACACAGTAAACAACCCATGTAATAAATCAAGGTGCCATGCACTCACCACAGAAGTAATTTTCAAACAAAATATATATCACATTCAGTGAGGAGAATATGTGGTAAATATCCCCATTGTAAATCACAAGTCAGACTCACAGAAGAGTGATTAGTCAACTTGCGGGTATTTTTCCATTTATATTGCCCTGTAAAAGTAAATAGTTATTTTTCATTTCTTTATCGTTGTTGGTTACAAGAAGATCTATTGACTTAGGATTTACTAGAAGCCAGTAACTTTTCATATTGTTGATGCTTTCAGGTTTCTAATTGTATTCCTCTAGAACACAAAACCAGGATAAGACATTTATTTCTTTTTCATTCTCCTCCACCATCCCCCGTTTCCCTTCTTTTCACAGAATATCTCCATGCATAACACAGTTGGAGGAGCAATGGCAGGACCTGGATCTCACCAGCTGACAAATACAAGGATGCCAAACCATGACACCAGCGTTGTGATTCAACAAGCCATGCCATCTCCACAGTCCAGTTCGGTCATTACTCAAGCACCTTCCACGAATCGACAGATTGGGTAAATCCATTTCCATTTTCTCATTTCTCTAGTTTTCTGGCTCCAGCAGCTGCACGTAGGACCAGGTGTTGTCCTCGTGGTTCTTAAGGTTCAGCTGCATGCAGGACCAGATGTTGTCCTCATGGTTCTTGACGTTATGGAGCTCGCACTTGATCCTGCCAGCGTGTGGCAAGGGCCCCTGCAACATGTATTGCAGCCTGTGGGGTAATGGCCGGGATACTGCATCTACTCCAGACCTGGCACTTCGGTTCAAAAGGGGCAAAGTGCTGTACTTGCAGGGAAGTCCTGCTTTCTCCTTCCAGTTTTTTGTTTTTATCTGCTTACATTCAAAGTTTGTGTTGTTTCTATAACTGCTCTGGGAAGAAGGAGAGAGTATTTCTGAAACTGATCCTTTCACTTCCTTCAACGGGAATTCTGGGTGCTCAGTGGGATTAGGCTGTTTCCTAGGTACTCTGTTTAATTGAGGAATGCTAGAAGACAAAATAAAAAGACCATCAAGATAAATGGAGTTTGGCACAGTCACCTCTGTGAGCAGTTGCTCAATTTGCGATGATGGATTGATATGTATTCCCATAGATTGACAATATGGATGCTTATTGTATTGGCTTGAATGCCAATTGTGTGCTCATGTTTGGAGAACTGCATGTGCAAAAACATATGTGTCTTGTACATTCGGTTACTTCCAGCAAACTCGAGGTCCTTATAAGTCACAATAACTTGGTGTTGATTATATAGAAACTGCCTCAAAGGTTTGAGGGTACAGGTTTTTTTGTCACACAAGTCTGAGAATTTGGGGGGTTTCATGGATGAAAATATGTGGATAAAAAGATAAATCAGTGGGCTGAGAATGAAGCAGCAGTCTAGATTCATTATCTGTCATGTGTAATTTGGTCACATCCATTATATGATAAGTGCAAAAGCAGTCTCTGTCCCAGTCATTGTCTAAATAATTGATGAGCCACTTTCAGTCTCTTCAGAGGAAAACCAAAAAGTGAAATCCTGGCATTGAAAACTCAAAATCCAGTTATCCCTGAGTTTTCTTTCAATATTCCTGATGGCTGGGGCAGGTTATAGACCACAGGCTTTCCGTCTTCCAGTGCTGTGGTGGCAGGGATGACCCATGGCACTGACCGCTCTGTAAGGGCTACCCAGCCACGCACAGGACACGGATTCCATCTGCTGCCCCAGTTTTGTGCTCCTGGCAAAGCTCCTCTAGTTTCCTCTTTACTACTATTTCAGGATTTTGGTTCTTACTATAGTATGAGTAAGGTAAACATATTTGATAGTTGTTCCTTTGTATATGTTGTGTATTGACAAAACTCAGTGTTCACTGAGATTTCATGTGCAATACCGTTCGCCTGTGAATCCAAGACAGTTGTTGTCTTATATATGTCCCATTCTGTTCAAAGACAGGGGGCTGGGAGGGAGGAAGGGATAAACAGATTCTTTTTTAGTTTTGGAAAGAAAAACAGCTAATGCCATTATTTGGGTTAAGGATGATTAAGCTCCTGTTCAAATTGTGACTTAATAGGTCTAGTGGTAATTATGACCTTAATTAAAAAGAAAAAACCGAAACCAAACAAATTTTAATACTCAGTGGTGAGGTGTTTTATATGGGACTGTACTTGGCTTCCAAACAATTGTTTCTATGTAATGAGAAAAAAAACTGCATGTGGTTTTGCAAGACCCTGTCAGTCAGGTTTTAGGTTTGCATTGGTTTGGGGCCATGGTGATTAGAATCTCCAAAGTTGGAGGGGTTGAGGATAAAAAGGCCTATTTCCTAGTCAGTGGTGAGCGTCTCATTTGGGAAACTTTGTCATGACATATCTTAATTCTCCTGTGTGACTGAATCACACAAATGTTTCCTAAGTCTGAGTCTAAAGCTGCTCTATTGGGAGGCAATTGTCAGCATTTTAGTCTCTGTGTGAGCTGGTGTGTGAATTAGACTTATGGTGTGACCTCCAGCATATTCTGTTCTTCATTCTTTCCTCTTCCTAGGAGGTTTTGTTTTTTGTTCATGGTGTGTCCTAGGAGATAATTGCTGCATTTTGGACTTCATCTACTTGCCAAAGTGTTGAGCATCCTTGTTTGTCTTCTTTTCCTTCAGTCTTTTCCCTGTGGTGCCTGTTTTATTTATTCAAAGAACATATCTTGTCATTTCCATTTATCTTCATCTTATCCTTCTAAACGTGCTAAGAATTACGTCCAAGATGCATTCATGAGGAATACAGACTGGACAACAGTTTCGGTGTTAGGCATTGAAGAAAGTTCTAGATGGATTCAGAAAATGTTTGAGTTCTGCAAAATTTGGTGGTTTTGGTTTGGCCTGACAAAGTTGAGGTGGTTCAGCTTTTTAACAAGCCCACATTCTGAGGTGCTTGAATCAGTGGTTTTGGGTTGGGTTCCCCCTTTTTTTAAAAAAAAAAATCTGAAGCTGCCCCAGAGGGTAGATGAGTCCTTAACATGGAGAATTGTGCCAGGGAATATGCCTTTTAAAGAGCAGTAAAACCAGCAGAGAGCAACTGGATAAAACTCTCATTGAGCTAGTTCTGTAAGAGCAGGATCAAGCCCTAAAGGTTATATAGAACCATCTTGTAGCAATATTCTGATTTTTATCACAACCACAAATATTTTAGTGTCAGACTATGGCCAAGCCACCTGCAAATGTTTGTGATGGCCTTACTCCAATGAAAACAGGGAACAGCAATGAAAGTCTTCATTTAGACCCTGCTTGTAGGCCGTGCTTCAGTAAGAGAGAACGGGACCCACCTGTGCCCGCACACAGCTCATTTCACGGTGAGGAGTGGGCGAGTTCACAGGAGCTGACGTTCCCAAGGGATGTAATTTTTCCCTACTTTCTTCTCTCCTCTTTTTCCTCGCTCTCCCTCCATCCTTCTCCCTCCCTCTCTGCCTCTCTCTTTCCCCCCCATCCTCTCTTCTGGCTCTGGGGGCTTGCACAGAAAGTGAGATATTGACACAAGGCATGGGAGAACATGACAGAATGAGCGTTGTTGGGCAAGCCTTACTGGCACAGTGTATATACACACATTGTTTCAGGTATTAAGCTGCAGCTACTACTGAACAGGCATCCAGCCAGATTAATCAGAAAAAGGAAGAACGTGAAGGTTAATAACTTAAAAAATAAGACGGGGTGCAGTCCTGCTTTCCTCCCACCATGTACCTGGTTGAGAACAAACAGCAACATTATATTTACAGCAAACTGGCAGGTTGGTAGAAAGGTCCCAGATAGTATTTCTGTGGTGAGGCAGTCTCCAACCTCCTTGCCATCCCTCCTCCTTCTCCCCCCCCCGCCAGCCTTTAGCATGTGGGAGGAATGCTGTAACTAGTAACTACTTGTGCTGATGAAAAATCAGTTGAGGAACACTTAGCAGTGAAGGGTGTCTTTGGCTGATTAATAGCACATCATTTGGAGATAAGATACATGGAGGAAAAGCAGTAAGGCATATGGAGGAAGGGGAGAAGAAAATGATATAAGACATACATTTGTCAAAGGTATAGGAAGGCAGATAAGCTGAATCAGCTAAAGATATGGGACTCTGAACTAGGCTGTACAATAGCAGTGTTTGTCCTTTTTTTTTTTTTTTTTTTTTTTTTAAATAACTCCGTTTTTTCAGTCACTGAGTATTCAGCAACGTATGTGCAAATTATGGTCAGACAAATTGGTGACAACGCAGTACAATGGTTGCTTTATCTGGGCATGTCTTTTACCAGGTAAGATGTCTCTTTTCAGGCCAGCAAAGACTGTAGGTGGCTGCAGCCAAACAGCTCAGTGTTCCTGGAGAAAGTAACCTGCTGCTGTTTTTCAGGCTAGTAGCAGACATGGCTAATAATCATTCCGACTTGAAACTCACTGGTACAGCTCTGTAGCTGAAAGGGAACACAGGAGGATTCAGGGTTGTCACGGATCCAGCAAGTTGTTAACACCATACTAAATGGAGCGGGAGATGCGAGTCCAGTTTCAGTGAACTCAGGCTCTAAAGTGGACATAGAGCACTAACCATGTGATGTAGATTATCTGTTTTCAAAGTGTTGTAGAGCATTTTAATCAAGATAAGATGGTCTTCTGGCACAACATCAGAAGGGAAAAATTGCAACCACATTTGATGAAATGCAAGCAGGTAGGAGAAGGCAACAAGAGGGATTTGGAAGATGCCTCTGGTGCCTTTATGTACTGAAGAATCGTGGTACCAGCAGGAGGACAGCCTCTCAGTCCCCACATGCATCATTCATTTTAACACCTATGCATTTCCTTCCTGTTCCTCTCTCTTCCCTCTCATGATGCCATATGTCTCTCTCTGTTCCCAGTTTATCATCTTTTCATGGGGTTGAATGGTTTCCAAACAGGGTCATGGAAAATGGAGTGGTCATGAAAACTGCATGTAAGGGGACTGAGAGAGGTTCAGTGGCACAATGAAGAGCTGACTTGTCGTGACTGCCTTGGGGATTTGGAAAATGAAAAAAAACTTCTCGGTTGTGGTCTTAATCTGAGGGACCCAAGATGGCAGAAGGACAGGGCTCCTCTCTGGCAAGCACAGGAGTTTTACCATAGCAGCAAGCTACCTGAGACTGCAACTGCTGGTTGAGTTCTCAGAGTATCCTGCTGTCATCCTTCAGAGCTTGAGGAAACAGAAAAGACTCCTGTAAAGATGTTCACAGGCAGAAACCCTTCCATAATGCCACTAGTTCTGGAAGGCACTTGGAACAGGCTGGTAGCTCAGAAGGGTCTTTGTGTGTGCCAGAGAAAGTCTCTCTTTAAGCTCCTAGTAAGTTGGAGGAGTGTGTGGCCTCAAAGAGGCCATGGAATGATGTGCTTTTATTAAATTCAAAGACCAGTTCCCTTTCCAAGAAAACTGAGATAAAAGCCTCTGTTCCAACTCATGTATTTGAACTGAAGCACCACAGTATGTTGTGAGATGAGAAGAGATGTGCAGTGAGAGGTGAAGTATCAAATGATCTCTTGGTTACTTGATCAGGTCCAT